CCTCAATAGCGGTGTGTTGTCAAACTTTTGGATATTTGTCATTCTGATAGGTATCATTATCTTACTATATCTGGTATTTTAATGTGGTTTTAATTTGCATTTCTGTAATTAGTGAAGTTGAATATTCCTGAATATTTTTTGCTCATCGCCCTCCATCACTTTTTTTAACATTTAAATCATTAGTTGATCCTTTTGAATTTATCATGACGTATTATGTAGAGAATGCATGCAATTTGTCTTTTTTCTAAATTGCGGCCTGGTTATCCCTATTTATTAAAAACTATTTCTCCACTTGATTGGTGATGTTGTCTTTATCATTTATTAAATTTCCATATGCATTCAGGTCTGTTTCTGGAATTTCTTTTCCAGTGGTCTGTCTATTCATGGACCAATTTCACACTTTAATTTCTGAGGCTTTTTGTTATATTTTAATATCTGGTAGGTCTGCATTCATTCTCAACCTCTCTCTTACTTTTGTTTTTCTGAATTTTCTTGGCCATCTTTGCATGTTTATTTTTCACATGAGCTTTAAAATCAGCTTTTTACTTACAGAAATAAAATGTGATTTTAAAAAAATTGTGATGGAAATTAAATTTCTAAATGAACTGAGGGAAAGTTGACATCTTTATAATATTGAATCTATTCAAGAACATGGTACATTTCCCCAGTTGTTTTCCTATTTCAAGTCAGTTTTTGTGTCCTTAAAGAATATTATAAAGTTCTCCTTATCTATGCCTTACACGCTTCTTGGTGAGTGTATTCATAAGTATTTTATCTTTGTTTCTATTATAAATGAGGTCTTTGTTCCATTATATCATCTGCTTGTTGCTTTATATATATATATATTTATATGTATGTGTATACACACACACATATATTTATATTTATGAAGGCTATTGGTTATTGTATATTTCTTTTGTATCCTGCTACCTTTCTTAATGCTTTTATTGTATGTAGTAGTTTTTTAGTCATGTAATCTGCAATAAGAGATAATTTTATCCCTTATTTTGTAATTCTTATACCTCTAACAAGTTTTCTGTTAATTGTATTGATTAAAATCTCTAATAGTTTTAAGTAGTAGTTGACTTTAAAGGGCATTTCTTAATTTTTTCCTAATTGTAGTCAATATTCCTAGTGTTTCTCTCATTAAGTTACTGTCTTTAGTGCCCAAGTACACATTTTATCATGTTAAGAAAGTACCCTCATTTCTGTTTTATTGAAATTTTTAATATAAGTGAATGTTGGATTTTGTCAAAGGGCTTTTTAGCATCTCTGGAGATGATCATATAAATTTTATTTATCAGGCTTCCCTGGTGGCGCAGTGGTTGAGAGTCCGCCTGCTGATGCAGGGGACATGGGTTCATGCCCCGGTCGGGGAAGATCCCACAGGCCGTGGAGTGGCTGGGCCCGTGAGCCATGGCCGCTGAGCCTGTGCTCCACAACAGGAGAGGCCACAACAGTGAGAGGCCCGTGTACCACACACACACACACACACACACACACACACACACACACACACACACACAAAATTATCAGTTTTCATGGTAAATCACATTAATAGGTTCTTTAATTTGAAAGCACTCTTGCATTGTTGGAATAAGCCAACTTGGGCTTTAAAGTGCCTGTAGTCTTTGTCTAATGTTTTATTTAAGTTGTTTGCATCCTCTGTTTGTAAGTGATTGGTATATAGGTTTTTGTGCAGTCTTCACGTTTTGGTATCATCATTATACTTGTTTCATAAAAACAAATTTGTAAGTTTTCCTTTTTCTGTGTTCTTTAAACCTTAAGTGGTTTGGAATAATTTGGTTCTGAAAGTTTGAAAGATTTCTTTATTAAAATTTTCTGAGCTTGACTCTTGTGTCGTAGACTTCAACAGCTTGCTTATTTCTTCTGTGGAAATTGGTTTGTGTAAGCTTTCTCTTTTTTCTGGAGTCAGTTTTGGTAAACTGTATACCATAGAAAATTACCTATTTTCTGGTGTCGATTTTGGGAAATTATGTTTTTTGGTATATTACCCATTTCATCAAAATTTTTCATTTATTTGCAGAGGGTTGTGTTGTGCAGTCTGTCTCTCTCTTTGTACATATATATATATTTCTTATATATATGTAAAATTTATGAAGTTGCGCCCTTGTCATATCTTTGGTTGTATATTAGCTAATAGTTTATCATATTTTTCCAGTAGAGCAGCTTTTAAAATTTATTTCAGTTCTCCTTTTTACAAAAGTATATTGTGGGGCTTCCCTGGTGGTGCAGTGGTTGGGAGTGCGCCTGCCAATGCAGAGGACGCGGGTTCGTGCCCTGGTCCGGGAGGATCCCACATGCTGCGGAGCGCCTGGGCCCGTGAGCCATGGCTGCTGAGCCTGTGCATACGGAGCCTGTGCTCCGCAGCAGGAGGGGCCGCAACAGTGAGAGGCCCGCGTACTGGAAAAAAAAAAAAAAGTATATTGTGTTTTGTAACTCGATTTCTGCTTTTAGCAGCTTTATTTTATTCCTTTCACCATCCTTCAAAGATTTTTTTCACATTTCCTGAATTAAATGCTTACTACACTTATTTTTATTCTTCCAGTTTTCTTAATGTAAGTGCTTCATTTTCTTGAATGAAGCTTTTGCTGTATCCCATAGATTGTGGTATACAGTATTTTTCTTTAGATTTGTTTTCTAGGAATTCTGTAATTTTGTTTTCCCTTTCCCCTTTGAGCTATGATGTAAGTTAGTTTTAATTTTGACATTTTCTTTTTTTTTAATAGTGTTTATTTATTTTTACTTGTTGACAGTTTGCTTTATTTATTTATTTATGGCTGTGTTGGGTCTTCGTTTCAGTGCGAGGGCTTTCTCTAGTTGTGGCAAGCAGGGGCCACTGTTCATCGCGGTGTGCAGGCCTCTCACTATCGCGGCCTCTCTTGTTGTGGAGCACAGGCTTCAGACGCGTAGGCTCAGTAATTGTGGCTCACGGGCCCAGTTGCTCTGTGGCATGTGGGATTTTCCCAGACCAGGGCTCGAACCCGTGTCCCCTGCATTGGCAGGCAGATTCTCAACCACTGCGCCACCAGGGAATCCTCCTTTTTTTTTTTTTTTTTGCGGTACGCGGGCCTCTCACTTGTTGTGGCCTCTCCCGTTGCGGAGCACAGGCTCCGGACGCGCAGGCTCAGTGGCCATGGCTCACGGGCCAAGCCCCTCTGCAGCATGTGGGATCTTCCCGGACCAGGGCACGAACCTGTGTCCCCTGCATCGGCAGGTGGGCGCTCAACCACTGCGCCACTAGGGAAGCCCCAATTCTGACATTTTCAAATGGTAATCTTATGATTATAGATAAGTTGTGCTGCTCTATAAATACTGAATATGTGAACCAGGGAGTTTAAGTCTTTAGTTGATCCAGAGTCTTTGATCCGGGGGACCTCCTAGGATAAACACCACCCCCAACCCCGTCTTTTTCTTTCTCCTCTTCCCTCTCCCTTTCTCTTTTGTCTCCTCTCTCTCCCTCTAGCGGTCTCCCACCCACCTCAACCCAAACCCCCCCACCCCGCCCCCACGCACATGCGCGCATATGCGTGCGTGCACGTACACACACACATACACACACACTTTTTTTAGTCCAGCAACCTCTGACCTTTGGAGGTAACAAAAGCTCACTCTGGTGAGGAGGAGGAGATCTTTTATCATGAGAACAGTACTCTTGAATTTGTAATAAAACTTAATTGGAAATTGATTTTTATGAAAATTTGTTTAATAACTCTTGTGCTACTTATGTCTTAAGGGAAGTATTTTAAAAAGAAAAAAATGGCATTTACTCTTAATGTAAAGTGTATTTTTTCTATAGTTGACATGAGTAAGATTTAAAAAATTCTAGTTGGAGAGATGCTTTATTGGATATTTCTGCTTCTGTTGCTGAGTAGTAATTTGAAATGGTGTGTGTGGGCGTTTTATAGTTTATGATATTAGAATATAAAGCAGCAAAAAACAATATAAATTTGAAATATTAATAGAGACAAATTTTAGATTCTATTTCAAAGTGCAGTTTCTTTAAAGTGGAAGTTTACATTAGGAAGCATTTTTTTCTAGGAGTACTGGTTAGATATATAATCAGTATGAGATCTCAGGTTCCCTCTAATTGAAGATGCCTTCTCAGCTTCCTTAAAACAATTCTGAAAATGTGTTTTTTGTGAAATGCAGGAAAAGAGAAAGATTCCTGTATTTCCCAATGGATCTGCCCCCAGCTCGGGTGAGACCCCTAAGGAGGCCCCACACCATGCTGGGCCTGAGCTGCAGAGGACTGGACGGTGGGTACAGATACTAATACAGTGTGGGTGTCTTTTAGGGGCTAGAGATTGATTTGATGGAAAAGGCATAAGCATTCTTTTTCTTCGCAAATATTTGGAAAGTAATTTTGTACAGTATTTTTTCCATATTTTAAAAAATGTATTATTTTATAGGTATGTAATGTTAAGGATAATTAATATGCATTTTAAAGTAGTTTACTAGACTATATTGGGTTCTGTATACCAGGATTTAATTTAAAATGAAAATATTATGCAGCATATGTTAAGAGTATTGTAGTTCTATAGTAGGTTAATTTAACTGCCTGTACAGCAGGTTCTTGAGGAAAGTGTGGTGCCCTATTGCCATTCTCATATGAAGTTAGAGAATTATGGGAACAGAGAGGAATTGTAACCAATGTGTTGTGTGTGTGCATAGATGTAAAACTCTTCCATGAGCAGTACATCATGAGGTAATGTAAAATTCGACAGACAAGCATAATTAAACCGTAGTAATAGTCTCTGGAAACCTAGTTAGAAAAATTGTTGCAGAAGTTAATTTTTGGAATAAAGAATAGAAATATTACCAGGTGCAAACATTGTCTTAAAATATTTTGTAGAGGTAGAAAATGATATGGTATTACCATTGTGTAGAAAAAAGCATGTGGATGTTGATACTGTTTTATCCATTGGTGGTCCCTATAGAACTAAAGATTTTGAAGCTTAAATATTTGTTTAAAAAACCAGGATAGCTTATACAGGATATCTTAATTCATTGACTAATATAGTAGTCTCTGAGCGAAAGGTGCTCATTTAAGTTATTATTATTATTACTTCTTCAGACTTAAAACTGAGGTAGGGTTAGTCACTGAGAAGTACCAAGCCAGACCCCCAGTGATCTCATGTTACCCGAGAGTCTCATATAAATGATTGACTTGATGATATACTTTCATTTTCTAGATTATCATTGGCACCATTTTTATTGCAAGTTGGCACCTTTTTTTTAGTTTTCTCAGTCCTCTTGCTGTCATATTATTTATAGGATAACTTCTTCCAGGTGTCAATGTATGTTTAGGCTTTATTTCAGTATTAACTTTGGAAAAAGCTAGAATGGTAAAGCTTGAAACATCTAAAGCATTTGAAAGCATAAGATTAATTTGTTTGGTGTATTTTTCTGCAGTAGGAATTTGAATGATATTTTATGAGTCACAAAATCTTTTTAAATTACTGATTTGTCACTGGTATTTATTGAGTACCTACTATTTCCCAGGCAGTGTTCTAGACACTGGAGATAATGGCAGTGAATAAGAAAAGGTCCTTGCCCCTCACAGAGCTTATATTATAGTGGAATGCTTTCAAGTTAGATGTATCCAAAAGTCTGATTTTAAAAAACACTGAAATGATAAGTCATTGAAATGATTTGATATGCAAATATAGATTTTAAATTTACTAACTAAAACCTCTTAGTTTTTATTAATATGCACACTGGTTTGACTACATATACAGTAAATTACATACACTGAAATAGTTTTTAGACTTTTTTTCTAGACCAGAAGTATTTATGTGTTTGAAGTACTAAAATTTTAAAACTAAAATTATTTAATTCACTACTGAGTGGACCTGAGCATACTACATTCATATTAAAGGGTATTTGGGGACTTATGATTATATTATAATTGCATTCCTGGTATTTCTGACACATGCCTTTAAGATTTATAATATAAATAATGATTAATAGCATTGCTTATGCATATTTTCATGAATGGGTTGTTAGGTTTTATTTATTTTTATTATGTATTTCCTTGCACATTTGTGTTTGATATTTATTGCATTTACTCATATAGTCATTTGCCTGTAGTCTTTTCAGTATATAGTCCATATGATACAGATGTTTGTGTCTCTTTTAACTTAGTGAGGTTTGCCTTTCCACTATCAGTGGATTAGATTAAATGAGTTTGTCTTCTATAATTTATGCCATTATTTAAATAGGATATTGATTTTTGTTGACAAAACGCTAGGCACCAGCAGTTTTATGTAGCCCATAGTTTTAGTTTGAACTAGCCAGAATCCTCTCGTGTACAGTTTGACGAGTTTCATCTCACCTATTTAGGCTTTTTGGTGGTTTGATACTTGACATCAAAAGGAAAGCACCTTTTTTCTTGAGTGACTTCAAGGATGCATTAAGTCTGCAGTGCCTGGCCTCGATTCTTTTCCTATACTGTGCCTGTATGTCTCCTGTAATCACTTTTGGAGGGCTGCTTGGAGAAGCTACAGAAGGCAGAATAGTGAGTACAAAGATTGGTAGTGGCCAGGCTCTTAGCTCTTCAGAGGCAAGTGTCTGTGTGCATTTGTCTCACTATTCATACTTTTATTTGAAGAGTCTACCCACAGCATGATTAACCTGTCCCAAAGCAGACTTCCCCCAAAGGTAATTGCAATGGAAAACATGGGGAAGCCACTTGAACAGGAGAAGATGCACAGTTGAGGTAAAAAAAAAAAAAAAGAAAGAAAGAAAGAAAAAAGTTTGTCATGGCTCGCTGGATGAATGGTTTTATAAATTGAGTAAAAGGCTTGTATTGTCTTTGTGGGGGGAGTGGGTTGGAGGAGACAGATCAATTGAACTGATTCTGGGTGGGTCATGGGTGGGAGAATTTATCCGTGGGGTCACTTTGTATCCTTTAAGGCATCATAGGATTAGTTAGAGCCATGTGATTAACATTAACTAATCCACCCTGGCAGGTCCCCTGGGCTAGACTATTTGGAAGAACGGAGCATAATTCTGGACAAATGATGGATTTTTGAAGTGGTGTTTAATTTTGCTGTTATTAAATTTGTGTGAACGTTGCCAAAGTGTTAATTGGAAAGTATAACTGAAAACTGCATCTGTATTTTGATATGACTAGAATGAAAGTTTTTATGTTTTTTGTTCTTGGTGATACTGTATTGGGGCTGTGGGGGCCTGATATCGGAACAGCATCTAGTGCTTCATGAAATTTGGAAAGACTTTTTTGTTGCTGTTTATATACATTTTAATGGCATTTAAATGAGACAGTTTGTGATTCCTAAGTATATTTTGTTTAATGATATTTACTGTTTGGAGAAAATTTATTTTTTACAGATAAAAGGTTAAAAACCAACCAATTCTAAGTAGTAATAATTGTTCAATTAAACTATTTCATAAGCTGAACATGAGATAAACCTGACAACTGAAATTTCCTTTTAACTCAATTTATTTTTGATTATTTAGATTCTTTTATGTTATTCTTTTATGTTATTATAGCAAAGATAGATATTTTTAGTAAGTTTCTTTATGTGCTGTCACAAGTTGTACATGTAACTCTGCTGGTCCCTGAGGAAGTGTGTCTTGTCTGTTAACGATCATGGAAATACTGTTTCTTTCCTCTTGGACTGTCACTCACTGCCTGCCTGTCTCATCCTGCTATTTAATACCCTGTGCATGTGATAGAGCTTTAGGCACTAGAGGAACATAGACAAGGGTAAGACATGGGCATGTGTCATCTATCCTCAGGGTCCTAACCTAGGAGAAAAAGATAGGATAGTATATATGTAGTTACTATGTCGTGGTGTTCTGTGCCACACATGAGTGAGATAAAGGAAGAGCTGTAGGAGTTGTAATAATTTAGAATAGAGAAATCAGAAATATTATGGAGGGAAATGATACGGAGATGATGCGTTTATTTTCAGATGCCTTATTGGAACTTCAGGTAGAAATGGAGACATTAGGAGGTGCAGTTCCAGAATTTATAGAGTGGTAAGAAAGAAATATGAAGATTGGGAAACTGAAAATAGATGAGGTTAACAATGTAAAGGGAGAGAAGGAGAGGAAAAAAGTGTGGGGAGTTATCCCCATTTATGAAATGGAGGCAGGATGAAAATGAGGAGAAAAATGGCCCAGAAAATTAGACACAGGCACAATCAGAGCTCTGAAAGAGGAGTCAGGATGATGTAATTTTGTAAAAACCAAAATAGAGGTGTAGAGAAGGAGGAAGATCAGCAGGGATTGTTCAGTGCCGTACAGTGGAGAGGCGTATGGGGGAGATTAGGGGAGGGCTTCTGGTGGGTAAAATGGAAGCTTTTGAATGTGGGTTAGTTAGGGCAGTATAGGGAGGGCTGTGATTTCTTTAGGGAAAGACTTAGGGCAGTATAGGGAGGGCTGTGATTTCTTTAGTGAAAGACAGGTTTTAGTTTGGGCATGAACATAGAAACAGTTTAAAAATTTGGAAAAAAGTAGGTCTGGGTAAAGGAACCTAGTAAATGTGGCAATGAGGGGTTTGGGGAATGGTGAAAGGAAGGTCTTCACCTGGAATTTTCTGCTTTTTCAACATAACATTGAGGAGGGAAAGTAATTTTGCGCCCAACTGCCTTCCCCACCCCATTAGCATTTCTTTATTTGCCATCTCCTTGTTTTTCTGCTCAATTTTTTGCTTTCTATTTCTAGGTGTTGTTTAGACATTTTTTCCTTTGATTTGAGCTCTAAATTCATTCCTAAGTATACATATTATAATTGAACTAAGGATTTTATAATAAATTAGTAGTGTCTTCCAGGACAATCTGTTGTTTGTGGGCAAGAAAACAAATTTATCTCATACAATTCATAAATATATTGTTAATATGAACACTTACTCATTTTGCCAAAAGTCTAGTTTGTATGTGGGTTTGATCCTATTTTTATACTAATAATTGAATTTTACTTTTACTACATACTATTCTTACGTTGTGATTTTGATTTTGGAACATGCTCTTATTACTGATGATGATAATTGCTACCATTTATTGAGTGCATTCCATATGCCAGACAGTGTGCTTGCTAGTGTTTTCAGAAACACTGCTTCTTTAAGTTCTCCTGGCTATCATCACCCACATTTAAAAATGAGAAAAGTTGGGCGGGACAAGTCTGAGATACAGCCATGGTTTAGCACCTGGTAGGAAGCAGTCTTCTACTTCAGATCTGGTTCTGAAGCCCTGCTCTCTGCCTGCTGCTGTGCTGCCTCTCAAGTTCCAGGAGGCTTGTTTCTCACAAGTGTCTTGTCTTTGCTTTACCGATGATGGGCTTTTCCTTTCTTAATTGTATATCCCAGTTGACCTTGATGTTTGTGAATGGTAAATCGTTTTCTTTCTGACCCCTCCCCTCTGTCGAGTGTCATAGCCTATATGCCTTAGCAACTGATAGCCTAATCAGTTAGGATGTAATGTTGGCAGTGAAACAAAATTGGCCTACTAGCTTTGATTTAAGATTTCTATGAGTCTTTCATTTTATCATTTTTACCAAACTTTAATAATAATATTTCCTCATTTATGGTTTCCAGGAGTTTTTTAAGGAAATTTTTCATCTATTGTTTATGTTAAGTATTTCATGTTTTATACATGTTGGTTAAGCCCATCATATTAGATTAATTTCTTTAAAATGTATGGGAAATTGCACTTTGGAAGCAAGTTTGAGAATGATAGTTTCAAATCTGAGCATGCTAATTTCTTATTCATCTACTTGGAGTCTGTTTTGTAGCACACCACATCGAGCATTTAGTATGTTTTTTATTTTCTTAAATGAACTATTTCAGACATGCAAAAATATTCAAAATAATGTATACATCTTTGTACTCACCATAGGCTTAAGAAGTAAAACATGTATAGATAGGGTGGGAGCCTCTGTGTCCATCTTCCATTTACCTCTTTTTCCTTACCTCCCGTAGTATTGAGTTTTAAATTAGGGTTGATTGTAAAAGTTCACCTTTAATATGCTAAAACAAAACAATTTTCCCATGAATTTAAAATATATTTGTAATTTTCCATATTTAAAATTTAAATTTGAGATTTAAAGTTGCATTTGCTTTATTTTTTTAACCACTTGATTAATATTTTTATTTTCCAGGTATCTTATATATATGTATTATAGTAGGTTAGAGATATATTTATGATGTATTACCTTTATTCGTTTCTTTTTTTCCTTAAACAGAGTGCAATAGAGTCTCTTTTTGGAGCATCATTAACTGGGATTGCCTATTCGTTGTTTGCTGGGCAACCTCTAACAATATTGGGGAGCACAGGTCCAGTTTTAGTGTTTGAAAAAATTTTATTTAAATTCTGCAGGTATGTAATAGTTACCTACTTGTCACATTTGTTTAGGTATGTTTATAATATATTATTGTTATTAACTTCAGTTAAAAGTACATTATATATTTAATAGCTGAAAAAGAGGATCTGATGAGTATACATATTTTCGATATTTGGGGGCTACTGTGTGGTCAACCCTACTCTGGCTTCTACTCTCATCCCCAGTCACCTTGAATATAAAATCAATGGATTTGAGTGCTGATAAGCAAATCACTTGAGGGACAATAAAAGTCCTTTGTGTTAGCAAATTTCAACCTAGTAAGAAGGTAGTTAATCTGAATTATTTATTATACGGTATGTTGGTCTTCTAAAGGAAGTTTAGAAAGCAGTGGATCTCGAAGGCTCACGCTGACTACCCAGCAGGACTGTGTCACAGAGGGAGCTGCAGCTCACAGTGTGGGGTTAGTGCAGGTTACTGGAGCTGGTAGCCTCGGAATTTGACATGGCAGTACTATTCCTTTTGTGAGATAAATGCAGTTGAATATTTTAGTCTGAAACAACTTGATGCTGTTAAATGTTTGATTCACTAATTTCTCTTGTTTGGATTCTTTTGCCACTGGGCAAGCTGATCCTGATTCTGATCTGGCACAGTACACACATAAATAGAGAATGTACTGGCCTCAAGTGTTTTAGACCCGCTGGTAGTAATTTATTATTTGAAATTGAATTGGAAAATGAAGTCACTGGTGATACTGGTGGTAGAGGAGCTGGTGGTGGTGGGGCTGGGGCGTGGCTGCCATGTTGACACTGGAGCATCTGGGTCTTCAGAGAGAGTGACATACATCTACTTGTTCTACAGGCTGCTTATCTGTCATTTACTCCTCATAACTGATTTCTAAAGTGAGGTCTTTAAAAATATTTATTGCCTAGCAGATTTGCACTGTAAATCTTTTGTATAAGTAAAATGTAATCATTAAGTCTACTAATAAGAAGCTAGTCTTCAGTTGAAGCAGAAAAACACATAGAGCTTTCTTTAGTCATTATTTTGTTATTCTGTAATGTGTTCTCTTTTAGAAATCTTAAGTTTTTATACTGTTCTTATTGTTTGTTATGAAAATTTTAAGTACCAAGACTGTTTGGCATGTATATGTTGATCATGTCCACATTTTTCTTTCTAAACAGAGATTATCACCTTTCCTATCTGTCTTTGAGAACCAGTATAGGTCTGTGGACTTCTTTCTTGTGCATTGTTTTGGTTGCGACAGATGCAAGCAGCCTTGTGTGTTACATCACGCGGTTCACTGAGGAGGCTTTCGCAGCTCTCATTTGCATCATATTCATCTATGAGGCTTTGGAGAAGCTCTTTCATTTAGGAGAAATATATGCATTTAATATGCACAACAATTTAGATGAACTGACCAGCTACTCGTAAGTGTTTCTGTTTCCCCTAATAGTAAATGTATTTTTGCAGAGGTGTCTGAGCAAAAGAAAATGGATTTTTTGCATTGTGATGCTCACTGAATATCTAGCTATAACTACCCAACTAGCAATACGGAGGTTGACTTGTTTGTTACAGATGAGATCTTACCAAAGCACACAGTGGATGTAAACGCGGTTGAACAAATTCAGTCATTTTTATTCACTGAAACAATTTGTCCAAGTGTGTGTATTTTTAGTTTTATGTGTAAATTGGGTTGGCCAATTTAAATTCAGTTGTTTGGCAACTAACCACCATATATTTATATATTCTTCATGTTTTACATTTTCATTAATGTGTTTGAAACTTGATAATTTTTACTGGAAGTTATTTTAAAGTGTAATTTCAGTGCAGTGTTGTATGTTGTTTAGTGGATTATTTTCTTTGTGATAAGAAAAGCATGAAATGAAAATATTTTAGGACTCTAGAATAAAATAGGATTTGAGAAGTAATTATAATAGTTACAAAGGGTTGGCAAACTTGTTTAAACGTGAAAAAGGTTATTAAAATTAGACATACCGAGGTAGATGCCTGTATTTGCTGTCTTGAGCACAGTTGGTATGAGCATGAGCCTGCATTTGATTAACTTACATGGAGGAACGTGGTTACCAAAAGCCTTCCTTCCTCCTGCCCCCTTCGGCCCCAGTCCCTCACTTCACACCCCTCCTACTCTCGCTGTCCTCACACACTCTTGACTTTGATGCACAGAGGAGGGAGGGATGTGAAACTTCCTATAAGACACTGACCTATTTGAAAATATTAGTGACACTTTGATGCCAAGTCTATTTTGTGTCATTTTCTTTGCTCTTAAACTAGTTAATTTTTAAAATGTTATTTGTTGTCTTCTCTCTTTCCC